AAACAGCACAGAGATTCAGAACGTTTACATAAAGTATGTGTGTGGTGCACACAGTCTGCCTCTGTTTTTACGCTGATAAGTAAATTAGAGGGGGGAGGAGGAAGTAGCATGTGATGCGAGAGAAGTGAAACAACCATTTTCCAAATTTGTTGTTCAGGTTGTTGTTCTTGCCAATTATTCTAATGGCCGACGAACACCGTCTGCGTCGCTAATGTTGTAACGGGGACAAACTGTGTCGCCAGTGTTGTAAAAGGCTCCAAAGCCATGTAATGGCTTGTGGGACCACGACACGTCCTTAGAAGAAGATAAAATCTCACCTGCGTCGCCAATGTTGTAACGGTGACAGGCTGTGGTGTCACCGTCTAATTACACCCTATTTTAATCTCCAGCCTGCAAGGTTATGCTGGCATTCGGTTAGGCTGGGCACCTGACATTCCCCCTTTGAGTGGGATAGCGTGTTCCTTTAAATTGAATACTCCTGAGTCGGAGAAATCCTCCAGGGCCATTCATAGCCTTTTTGCAAGATGTGATCATCCGGGGTCTGTAGTAACGGTAACCAACTTTTAAATCGTCAATTGTTGTATTGTTTTGCTGTTGCATGATAGTCAGTCACTGTTTCGCGGTGAGTTCTCCGTCGCCAATTATTCTAATGGCCGACGAACACCGTCTGCATCGCTGATGTTGTAACGGGGACAAACTGTGTCGCCGGTGTTGTAAAAGGCTCCAAAGCCATGTAATGGCTTGTGGGACCACGACACGTTCGTAGAGGAGGATACAATTTCACTTGCGTCGCCAATGTTGTAACGGTGACAGGCTGTAGCGTCACCGTCTAATTACGCCCCGTTTGAATTCCCGAGGAAGAACACAACAGCAAGGGGGTAAAAGTGTAAGCCACCTAGATGAAGGTTTTATTGTGTACAGAACCCGGTTTAATGTCATCGCGTGGGGACAGTGACAGCGAAAACACATGACCCTGAGGCAGTCGGCACTGACAAAGGAATCACTGTGGAAGACTCATCCTAATAAGTGCCATTTCCACGTTATTTTAGCCAAGATGCCATATTTGAAGAAGGAGGATTTTACAAACCTGAATTTTCAGCAAAAATGGCTCCATTCACGGAGAGCGTTACAAACCTGAATTTTCAGCAAAAATGGCTCCATTCACGGAGAGCAGATGGGCAAGTAAATAAACGGTCATTTTAAGAGGACAAAGGTAAAAGGTCATGTTATACTCACAAGTCAAGTTTTCACGACATTCACATCGACTATGGGAGACAGATCGGCTTTCAACTTCTCCATTTCCACTTCTTCACACGCTTTTTTCTTCGTATTGACATTCTAGGAGAATTGTCGATGTTGGTGTCGTTGGTGAATTGCATATGCGACAGATTGGTCGTTGTTGGTGAATTGCATATGCGACAGATTGACCGCATTTGGAAAATATTGGGATTGTGATATATTGTAGGTAAAATAACTTGTTTTCGTGCATTTAAAAAGGTAGCAGTGTACTGTAGATATGACCTCATGATCACAAATGCAGACAAACAAAGCAGAGGACTAGAGAGGATGGTATGGGATAATAACTTCCCACGTGAATGGAGAGCAAAAAATGGGTGGCTCAGATTCGAAAGCCGCGCCAAATATTTACATAGTTGTGTTACTCACGATGAGTGAGCACTCGCGAATTCAGTATCAGTTTATTGAAGGAAAGATAGGCGAACGCCTTTGAACTTCCTGTTGGTAACAAGATGACAGGGAATAAATGGATACAAAGAAAATTTTAAATTTACGTCAATTACATGTTCCGGGAAGACACCAGAGTCAAATCTTAACATAATATGACAGAAAAAATATGACTACTCGCAAATCACTGGCAGTATAATTTGATGCAGTGTATGTGATAAACAATGTAGTTCATCGTTATGTGATGCAGTAGTTTTTACATGATTTGCATTTGTGCTTGATGCATGTCCAATCTACTCTTAAATGAATTAACACAAGTGGAGAGGACAACCTCTTCAGGAAGGGCAATCCACGCTGAAACTACTCTGTTGCTAAAAGAAAATTTTCGTCCGTCGATTCTTGCTTTACTATTTTACACTAACTTGTGGCTGCTCACTCATCACCTGCAATTCTTCTACTGTATCGATGCGTTTTTTAGTCCCTATGTCACCAATAGGGAGCTCAAAGGCATTTGCTTATTCTGCCTTCAATAAAACGGAAGTGAATGTTAGCAGCTGGTAGGAATTTAAATAAATTTGTATTGGGCTTAGCCCCGACCGGGACAAAGATTTCTATAACAACGACGAATATACTAGCACTTTGAGACGGCAGCATTTCTTCTGGAAGTTTTTGTAAACAAACGTATAAGATGGTGTTGTATTGTGCTCGGTCTACGTATAATCTATGGTCTTTTTCATTTTAGATGGGTGGATTAACAAGGAGTCTGGGCGTACTGAATATTTCCTTTCGGGAGTGTGGAGTCTGTCTAGAACTTCCCTCGAATTTTAATGAATATCAGCAGCTTTCTGATTGTACACAAGCATCCTTTGGACTCCCATTTTTTATATGAACTAAGGAAATATACATTTCGTGAAATGTTGATTATAAATGAAGGTGTGGAATACGATGTGGTCCAAGCAGATAATAGACAAGAGAACGTATCCCAACATGTATAAGCTGGTGGATAGGATAAGGCATGGAAGGCCATAGTGTCAGGGAGAAT